AAGACTAGACTGCCACTCGAGCTTTGCTCGAGTAGAAAAAAGGCGGCTGACTGCGCAATGCCCGACGATCTCTAAATCCGATCGTAAACGACATCTGCTAATTCTAAAGTTAAGGCTTGCGTAAAGGAAATCATAATGAATTTCAGTTGCGTCCAGCTATGTTCGCTCAGATGACAAGTGAGAGAGAGATAATGAATCTGAATCATATATGTCCATATAAGGAAGCTCTCAGCTGTTTATTATCATTCTTCGTATTTTATCTGTATAAGCCGTGTAAACATTTTCTGAACGTTCGAGACTCCTTCATGGATGAATTTAAGTCATACAGGACGATAATTAAAATATGTATGCATTTGACATCTTAGATAAGAATGGTCATCTAAGATTGAATCATGCACAGCCATATAAGGAAACTATCAGCTGTTAATTATCATTTTCGACATTTTCTATATCTTCCGAACGGTACCGAATTTTGAAAAACGGATTTCAGATGTGCACTCGTCACATTCTCACGATCTCGGTAAACTTTTTTTCGACTCAAAATGATGCGTGGGAGCTGAGAACGAGTGGCTGACTTGAATCGTGACTCATGCGTCGAGAACAAGGAGAAGAAGAAGAAGAAGAAGAAGAATTTACCATGGCAACTAAGCGAGTGAAAAGCAATAAGTCGGCGACTGCACTTCGTGCAGTCAGCCGCCTTAAAAAAAAGTAACTGGCTCTTTTACGTCGATAAATGACGTGGGGAGTACGAAAGAGGGAGTGATAGTCGGATGTAGAATTTTTTTTTTCGTTCTATTCATCGTGCGCAGATGCGGAGGAAAAGAAAAAAATAACTATTGGTGCTTTGCTTTTGATCAATGAGGAAGTATGAATGAACGGACATCATTAAAATAGTGTATTAGCAAGGTTTTTAATGGCAAGTGTGCACAGTAGAAGCAAAATGTACAAACATTTGCAGTTTTGAAAATACACGCTGCTATACACTTGTCTCAAAAAGCAGAGTGTACATTGTACACTTTGCAAGTGAGATTTTAAATGTATTTTTAGCTCAAAAATTATATTTAAATAATGATCCGATTCTGGTCTATTTTTTATTTTTTCTGTTTGTTGACTAACATCCTTTCTCTTCGTGATTTCTTTTCTTTTCAGATTTATATAAATTCGTTTCCGATACTAATGTGATATCTACAGAAAAAAAAATCAAAAATTGCAATATTTAACTTAGTTTTCTTCAAATTATACCGTTTTTCATGATGATGAAGAGAACCAAGAAAGTTTTGATAGGTTTTCTAGTTATTTAGAATTTTCAAAAATAATAAATCAAGGTTCTTATGCTGATATGCTTTCCTAATGCTATACTTTCGTGTAGTGAATCGTTCCCTAAATGAATTAGACATATATTACTTTTACCTTGTTTTCTATTTACGTATCTATTATTATTCTCTATTTTTTATTGAGTAAAACAGATATGCAGATGTTTTTCCCATTTTGGCTATCCATAAAGGACGTCTAGACAAAAATCATTTTTCGACGCTTCCTTTTCTTTGCTTCAGACATTTGGTATATAAAAATTTCAGAAAAATCTGCTTGTTCATATATATTTGGTAATCCAATCTAACGTTAAGATTAGTCTTAGATAGACCTAAACAAATCTCGATTTGACATTGAATTATTTAACTCTTAGACTTCTGTCTAATTCACACAAAATCATGCTTAGTTGAAATTCAAGATTGGCCTTAAACAATCACTTCTTTGTGTTACGATAGTATGTTTCTTTTCCTTTTATTTAATTGTATTTATATAATAAAGTAAAATATTAATATTTCTTAGTATTTTATATTTGATTTTTGTTTTATTTAATTAAAATATATCGGACATCTGCTGTCTCATTCTTTGATCAATATCTTTAGATGATGAGAAAATAAAATTTCAAAGATTTATATAGTAGTAAAACTGCTTCGTTATGTTTTTCGTATTCTTTTTTCTTTAGCAATAGTGATATGAGATGGCAAGACAGTAATATCGAATGATAAGTTTACTTGTTTTTATATTCCATTTCATTAGTACTAAAGAAAAAAAGAAAAAAGCATAGGCAGTTTGACTGGTATTGCATATTTAGAACTTTGCTTATATGTCATCTAGAAGTATTAGACGAAATAAGAAACAGTAAATCTCTCATACGTTTCAGTTAAATAAATAAAATGAAATATAAAATAGTAACAAATATAAATATTATACTTTACTGCATACGTAACTTACTAACACCTTAAAAAGTCATTTAATTTTTTTTTTGATATGAATCATCCTTTATTCGATAGACAGCATTCAAATAAGAAAAATCACTCAAAAAAAAACGTTCGACCCCATGACCAACGGATCAATGCTTATCATCACTTTACTCAATCTTTGGACTATAGAAAGGAATATTTATCAAAAAAACGTTCAGTTCTAAACTATCATCCTAAAATTTTGCTCAAAGAAAAGTCAAATGATCGTTCAAAAACTCGTTTTAATCGAAACTTTTATAATATTTTAAGAATCAGTCGACCCTTTTTCAGCAAAACTTCAGCTCAATTGTTCATCATTTGATTAAAAAGAAATCTGATGATATAAACAAAATTTTTGTTCCCAGTTTGATGTTAAAATTTAATAAATTTATTAATAGAAATAAATAATAGACAACTTTTACGAAAGAAAATTTTCAACTGATTAGAATTTTTCATGTTAAATATTGCCTTGAGATTAATAATATATTAGACAATTTCTTTTGAAAAAAAAATCTTTTTTCTTTTTGTTTTAATCAATATTTCTTTGCTATTGAACACTTAAGTAAATCGATATGTGAGAAAAACTAAAGTGCATCGATAAAGATATTCTTTGTTTACTGATATCTTATTGTTAATACGTTATTAAGTAAATTACCTGTTTTTGTTTTCAAGATCATTTGATAAAGTTGGAATCGATGAAGATCTTCGTCTTATTGTTGTTAAATCGATGTTTGAACATCGTTTAATAGATACATTTCTATAGACCAATATAGAAACGATTAACACAACCAATATAATCAATAATGGTATTAAAATCTTAAGATTTATTATAATCAAATAATTAAAACAAACAAATTAACTTACAATAATTATATTATAAATTGATTTTTGATTTTGTTCATATGATTGAATATTAGAATAGGTTATTAATGAAGAATTATTTAATAGAAAATTTTGTTTTTTTGTAAATAATTGATGTTGACGAGAAAATAATGATGGTATAACAATTTTACTTGAACATGCATTTTCATTATATATTATCAATGAATTACAAATACTAGAAACATTTCAGAATAATTAATTCATTTTCAAGTATTACTCTCTACTTAAAATTCGATCTTGCCCTACAAACATTCAACTAGCATAATATTTTTTAAAACATTTTCGAACTATAGTCAAAAAGCTATGGGTAAATTCTTAATTCTATAGAATAATGTTTCACGAGATAGTTATCAAACATTCCTCAAAATTTTACTTTATCTTTGTTTGGCAGATAATATCACTCCGTAGAGTCTTATAGAGGTACTTTTTTAAAATCGTTATTTTTGTCTTAAAGACTAATGATAACAAGTCAAGTAACGCAAAAAAATTATTCAAAATGTTTTCAGAATTTTTTACACTATTGAACTTGTTACTGTTGGCTGCCAAGAAACAAAGTCAAAACTTTAAAAAATGTCTCAATCAGACCTTACATTTTGACATCTTATTACCAATAATAGAAATATAAAATATAAATAATGAAAGTCTCCAAACGATATTGATTTACGAATACGTACGCTTTTTTTAGGCTTGTTTAATGAATATCTAATGAAAAGATCGTCCTATAGAACTAACTATTTGACAATAGTCTATCTGCTAGAGCTCAAACATATTTTTAAAAGTGTCATCCTTTTTCAATATTCGTCGATTGCTGAAAAATTGGGAAATAAATCAATAGGATTTATTCTTACAATTGAACTTTGATAATATACCATTGAGGATAATTTTGATCATAATGTATTAATTGATCAAGATAATAATTATTTGGAAGATTTTTAATAAATAATTCATATAAATCAATATGATTTCCTAAACGAATTAATTCATTATGATTAACTGGTTGATCATCATAATCAATATAATTAATAAATATTCTCAAAAGACGAATTCCATTAATTGATCTTGATGGAAATAAATCAGATAATTTCCATTTTATTCGATTAATAAATAAACTATAATTTTTATATGATGAAAATGATAAATAAAGTAAATTTGTTTTACAATTATTTGGTGTCACCATAATTGAATATGGATCAATATATTTATAACATTGATCACTAATACAACTATCAATACTATTATCAGATTTATTAATCATATAATAACAAATATTATCCATACAATTAATTTTTATTATAACAAATAATAACGATATTATCGACCATTTATACATTGTAATCATATTTGAAATAAATTTGGAATGCTGAAAATCAGTCTTATCTTTCTTTCTTTTTTTGCTCGGTTATTCATCAAAAATACCAAACATTTTTTTCTCTAGATCATTATTATTAAGAGAAAAAAAGGCAAGGTTATTCTCATTCAAATGAAGGAAATTCAACTTTTATCAAATTTTTGTTTTTAATTTCTATAAGTCACTCAATAATTACATAAACAAATCTCTACTTTAAACTTTATCGAATCAATATATGAGTGAATCGTATTTTTGTTGTACAATTAAGGGAAAAAAATGAAAGTGTGTTTAGAGAAAATTTAGGTTGTGGATCTTATTCACCATTGTTTATTGAGTATGTGGTAAAAATTTCCCAACTACCACGTGTCAGGAGGCCAAGATACCTCTATATCAATGTCCGTGAAATATTAGATTGACACATAAGTTCTACAAGTTTTTTTAATGTTTTAGGCAGCTTTCAGGCTTTATATCTGACGATTGGAAAACGATCGAGATCTGAAATTTTGGACCTTCAATCACCTTCTAACAGCAAGATATAAAGCTTGAAAGCTACCTACAACACGAAAAAACCATACAGAACTTGTGCACCAATCTAATGCTTCCAAAAGTAGCAACTTTAGGGAATTCTTGTGCTTTTATTCTATTACAGCCCTCTTCTCTACTCTACGTGGATACGCACATCTCCGGAAGCGTATACTTGAGTCGAGCGGGGTCGAAAACCAGACAAGAAGTGTTTCTCTACATATTTTTGAAAAAAATGTTTCTCTACATTTTTGTCGTATAACGTAAAATTTTCTAGGAAGACAATATTGAATCCCCCTGAAATTTTTATCAATTGTATAACTTTTTATGCTCTTTATATTGTGTAAATTTCAACAAAATCGATTCAGTCTAAACCCCCTCCCAGAATAAAAGGCCATGCCCTTATACAGTGTCTCGGCACATCATTACTTTTTCCATGGCCTTCTAATTAGGGTGACCTTCTAATACGTCTGAAATTTAGAATGTCCTATGTTTCAATAAGTTTCA